TTTCATTGTCCATGAAATTACACTCAAATGATTGGTAAAGACATCTGCAAAGGGCAGACAATTCAAAATTCTATTAGAGCAAAGAAATCCTATGAATTCAGGAAAAGAAGATAGGATGACTTTTTCACTTATATAAGTAAAAAAATCTGAATATCTAAGGGACATAACTTTGCCATTTATTTTTTTACCTATGGCACCCATAGGTAAACAAAATAAAAATGGCTAAGTTATTTTTCTATGACGTCATATTTTGAGGGACCATGCATATTTAAAGTGACCCTTAGCAATGCTTAGTGGTGGAATGATTAAAAAAGATACTTGTATGAAACTAGATATCACTGGAATCAGAATTTTCTCTAGTTTATAATGAAATAAAAATAAAGTGTACTTTTAATATATTAAAAAAGTTCCATCCAAAGAACATGGGGAAAAAAAAATGCCAAATCTGAACATAAAAAACCTGAAATCAGGTCATGCGCTGCACAGTGCATACCCATGAAGACATGATACAGGCACATTTTACATAATCAAAACTGTATGAAATTCATAGGGTCCGAGTACACAGTTATTTCGTAGTGCATTTCTTTTAGACAATAAATGGAAATTAAAAAAATCCCACCTGCGCTTTCTCAATAATATTTTTACAGTGTGTTGTACTACTTTTGGGACAAATTATATCAAAATTATAGAAAACTTCATCGGCTCTAACTCAAAATATGGACAATTTCATGTTAAGGGGGTCTTCAAATCTTTTGACAGCTTCCGAAGTGCTAATTTTTAACATTTTTCAGCCGGACCAAATCACTACTTTACTTTAAAATTCATGACCCAAATTTTTTTACAGTGTAATTTCACCCCCCTACTTACTATTTGAGTTATAAAACATGGAGAAATAAATTTGGAAGGGGTATAAAAAAGATCGACAAGTAACACACTGTCCACACTAGGGACTATATTCGTGGACAACGAAAATCAAAGGACGATAACTGTGTACCCGGACCTAATAGGGTAGAAAAAGTTGACCAATCTTAATGAAACTTGGTATGACCAAAGCTTATTAAATTATAAGACTGCTTACAAAGTTTCATGGCAATAGGATATATATTATAGACAATATGACTAATTCTATATTCAACATTGCATGTTAAATTTAGACGTTAAAATTGAAAATTTTCAACTATCAACATTTGGGGCTTAAAAAATTAAAATATTGCAAAAAAATACTTTTGAAATGCCTTAATATATAATATATTATGTATTAAAAGCAATAGAGTACTCATTTGGTTTAACAGACTTATCATAATTATTAAAAAGTCAAATTTATATGAGCCTGTGGCTAAAAATGGAGGTTTTCCAATGAAGGGGGGCCTTACATGAAGATGTAATATTTTCCAGCAATTTTAAATTTGTAAAGCTTTTTGGTTATAAATAATCCTTACATATGTATTTAATGTACTTTAAATGGAAAGAAAACTTACAAATAACATATCACATTAGTTTAAAAGGGTCTTAGGCCAAGTAAGACAGAAAATAATTTAAGGTCAATTTAGGCCGTATCACATATTTACATTTAAAAATGCATATTGAAGCTATAGGAAATAAAATTTTGTGTCTTTTCTATCATTTCTATACTCAGGAGACATGGTACAATAAATCTGAGCACAAAAAGACTCTTGCATTCAACTTTTTTTGCAGACAGTATGGTCTGATACAAAGATTTTTCACTTTTTAGTGAAAAACATGCATGCAATTTTAGTCTCAACAGGCTTATATTTGAACCACTTGCTATCCTACAGAAGAAAGGAAAGATATTATGTGACATAAAACAGGTACAAAAGACTTTGTTAAGTGCTTTTTATACAAATTTAGTGAGGTCTTTATAATGGACTTCAACTTTTATGTTCCAAGCTCCTCACATTTAACTTGATCCAAACAGGGCGTTAGACGAGGATCATATATACAACACATTTTGCACATATTGTCCGAGATAATCTTCTTTTCTGTAGATTCAGAGTTCACAAATGAGTAATACAACTGGATTGAAGCATAGAAACACAAATATTGACACATAAAAACCTGTCAGATAGAAAGTGAGAATGCCACTTATGCATCAAAATTGAAAAAGCTATGAAATGCTTATTTTGACCATAAAATGTCAAAATTGGTCATTTTTGCAGAAATTCTATCAAATAAAAGTTTAAATCCTTTAGTTTTATGCTATTTGATAAATTGACACCATCAAATCATTCAGGGAAGTTGCCAAAGTACAGATTCTATATTTCCTGATTTCACCTCTTAGGTCCGAGTACACAGTTATTTCGTAGTGCATTTCTTTTAGACAATAAATGGAAATTAAAAAAATCCCACCTGCGCTTTCTCAATAATATTTTTACAGTGTGTTGTACTACTTTTGGGACAAATTATATCAAAATTATAGAAAACTTCATCGGCTCTAACTCAAAATATGGACAATTTCATGTTAAGGGGGTCTTCAAATCTTTTGACAGCTTCCGAAGTGCTAATTTTTAACATTTTTCAGCCGGACCAAATCACTACTTTACTTTAAAATTCATGACCCAAATTTTTTTACAGTGTAATTTCACCCCCCTATTTACTATTTGAGTTATAAAACATGGAGAAATAAATTTGGAAGGGGTATAAAAAAGATTGACAAGTAACACACTGTCCACACTAGGGACTATATTCGTGGACAACGAAAATCAAAGGACGATAACTGTGTACCCGGACCATAGGTTTTTACCTGGCCTTTCAAAAAAATCTCGTTTCAGGGCACGGTCTCCTGCTTAGAAAAGAGCTACAGTGGTATTTCAATCATTCAAACTGTTTTAATTGAAAGCTAATAAACTAATTTTTACAATCAAATACAAAAAACATGATACTTTTTCATCAATTAGGTAAATAAACAGGGGTTTCCCTCCATAGTTATTTTTAGTCAGGGAATAACCCCTAGTTTTTTTATAAGAAACTGTTTATAGCACCCTATACAAGTAAATAAAATTCACTTGTATACTATAAGTATCCTACAAATTTACTTATATAAGTATAATAATATTCCTTCTTCAAGTAAATAAAAAATATTTGTACAAGTAGTACCCCTGACTGAAAGTAGTAAAGTTAAAAGGTTACTAAAAACTATAAAAATTAGTACATTGTACATGTTGTCATGGTTGTATCTCAAACTAAAAATAACATTCGCCTCACATGTCTCATAAAAAAAAATTAACAATACTTTTGCTTAAAAAATGCTTGAATTACATGAATTACATGAATTACATGAATTACAATTCATCATTTCAACTAATTTCTGATCATTGTCTAAAATTATACTAGCAAAATTTTCAATATAATTTGAACATTCAGAAAAAATAAAATCCATCTCAAGTCATAAAGAGAACAATTATAAAAAAGTGTTTTTCAGATTCAACTCAATTGTTGGTACAAAGCACAAAGTCTGTTATGAACTGGAATTAGCAGCCTGGCATATCTTCCGGTTTCGATGGCTAGCAGTAGCGATCTCGCAAGTTACAGAGCCATAACGCGTTTGCACATATTCAATATATCTATTAAATTTATGTTTATATCGTGTAATCGAGACCGTATGTTGTTTTTGGGGTCATCTCGATAGTTAATTAGATGGTGCCTAAGACTAAAATACACACAAAACGAAGCTACATATTATCGAGCGCATGCCCTGTAAATATGTTTATTTTAGACTTTTTATAATTTGAATAAATGTTTTACATTTGTTATAAATCTAATATGAGAATTTGAGTCAAATCGGTGAACATGAATTTGACATGTAAGACACCTACATGTAGTGCCCCTTTAACAGCTCGACAAATTTCATTTAAAAAGTTTTCTATCTATAAGGGATCGAGCTACCATTTGATTTTTATGGGGGGACTAGGATGAAAAATTTTGTCCTGCATTTTTTTTTAGTTGTAATCTCTGTCCTGCCTTTTTATTTTTCACTCTATTAGGTCCTGGCTTTTTTTTTATTAGTTTATCCTAATTTTGTTTACATAAATTGTCATCCTGCCTTTTTTTTTGCCAATTTGCTCATCCTGCCTTTTTGTTTAACTCAAAACTCCTGTCCTGCCTTTTTATTTCAAATTTTATCCTAGCCCCTCTCCCATAAAAATCAAATGGTAGCTCCCTAAGTACTTGTACAGTTTAGATGAATATCATTCTCCAACTTGGTTAAATGTATAAAATATTCCGTTTGCACATGTTGCAGGGTAAAATGATTCTTTTTTAGTAATGACAATTTTCAAGACTAAATTACGTGAAAGATGACAGACTGCACCACTGTGGGCTATTCTTTGCATTTTCTTTTAAGAGGAGTGTATTTTCCCATAGAACATGTACACCGTGTATTAGGTCACCAAAGTTAATATAAATATGAATTTGATTAGATTATGTTGTATGGTATCCTCTGTTTGGTTTTTTTTTACATTCTTATTAAAGAACGAGTTTTTCAACATGTTCAAATACCGCACCAAACAACAATTATAGACTATGAATAGATTTCCATAACGGCAGTAATGCATCTTCCTTTGTCAGACTATTGGGGTGTTGGACTACTGGGCTGTCAGACCAAATGGTGTTGAAACTAATGGGGCTTTGGACTACTGGGCTGTCAGACCAATTGGTTGTTGAAACTAATGCCATTGGGGCGTTGGACTAGTAGTGGGGTGTCTGAATATTTGTGCTGTGATGAGTCAAGGTTTTTTATCATCGTTGAAGTTTCTACATCATTTGAACTTTGGTGGATAGTTTACTTGTCTCATACAAAAAAATTATGTAATTTTGCTGTCTGACATAAGACATCATATAACCTATTTACAGTCTTGATTTAGCAAATGTAAGTCTGTACAAGTGGATTCTAGCTTCTTAGTTTTCACGTTATAAACAGTATTAAGTGTACCAATACATTTTTTCACTCCGGTTTGTAAAAATAAGAAAAATCGTTAACTTACTCGGTCTAATTTACAGGGCATATTTTGGTCGAGGGAATGAGACCAACGTTATCATTCTTTGTACATGTCCATTACATAATGTGTAAGTTCCGCCTCTAGCAGGAGCACTACCGGTAGAAATTTCGTACCTTACCCGTTTCGTACCTCCGCCATTTCATACCCGAAATTACTATTTCGTACCGAAGATTCACCATTTCGTACCATATCGACCAAATGCATCTACGATTTCGTACCTCATGGACTTAAAACATGTTTACTATTTCGTATCATATATTTGTAGATGTTCTAACTAATTTTAAGACTCTGGCTGTCAGTTAATTTAAAACTATGAACTCACACCACATTAATTATGTTGATCACTAGTATGTCTCTCTCTGAGTTCGGGCTGTAAGAAAAAAGTTGAGAACTTTAAAATAAACTACATTAAGGGACCGGTCATTATTTATCTCCCAAAGGGGGGGGGGGGCAAAAAGTAGGGGGGGGGGGGGGGGGGGGTCATGAAAAAAATTGAATCTGATAGAGGGGGGTCATTCTTTTTCAGGTTAATCAAGTAGGGGGGTCATGATTTTATTGGCCATAGATTCATTAATCGCCATATACCATGATCATAGACTATACATGTATAGTTGTTTGGGCCCTTCAGAGCTAACTTGTCTCCTAGTTTGACTCTTTCACAAATATCAACATGATCAAACTGTCACTATCAGTGATCTAGCTAGAGCTAGGCACTTTACTCTTTGACTAATTTTACTGTCAAGCGACTAATGAATATTACCAAAAAATGTGCAAAATTAGTCACTTTTCTTATGTTTTTCTTGGCCATGATGTTATAGGACTAAGAAACTAGGAATAGAGACTATAAAATTCACCACAGCAAAAGAAGAGTAGACTTTGCTTTTTGAAGGTGACACCATTTTTATTTTTCAAGATGAACTCATATATTTTACAAACTGTTGTTTTATGTGTACAAAAAATATTCTATAAAGACATTTTCAAAGCATTTTCTCTTTATTTTTATTCCATATCTTAAATATACCTCATATAGATTTCCAATATAAATAAATATATGATTGATTTGTTCATTGTTGAATGAGCGACAATGTGGAAATTATAGTGAAATTTATAATACAAGAAATTATTGAAAGGCCAGGAAAAGCTTCATTTCAACATCTCTTACTTGAAAAAAGACATCCTGATAGACATTCTGTATGAATACAATAAAAAGTAATGCTCAGATATCAAACAAAGTTCAAATTTTTTACTCTTTAAAGCTGTAAATGACAAAATCATAATTGAATACTAGTAACCAACTAAACTCCAATTAGTTTTGAGTTTGACGAAATGATGCATATCATTGGATGAATACCGAGCTAATTAAAATTAAATATGCCACTTTTTAAAGTCTGATTTTATATAAAATATATTGGAAATTTTGACATTTTGAAAATACTTTTAGTCTAAGATACTGTATGCATTTAATTGTTTGGGAAAAAAAACTTTGGTGTTGGAATCTTCACTATATATGAATATTTTGTTTAACTTTATAAGATTTGCACTTCACATATATGATACCGGTATACTGTCTAATGATTTTTTTTTATATAGAACAATTCTCAGTGGCGGATCCAGAACTTTTCATAAGGGCTGACTGACCTAAGGGGGGGGGGGGGGGGGGGGGGGGGGTGGGCTCTAGTCATGCTTCAGTGATTCCCTATATAATCAACCAAATTTTTCCCACGAAAGAGGGGGGGGGGGGCGGGCCCCACAGCCCCCCTTTGGATCCGCCTATGACTCTATTACCGGTATATTAAAGGGTATTTTCAATAAAAAATACAAAATTTGTGATATGAAATAGCAATCAAAATGATGATTTAATATTATTATGGTTTTATAATAATATTTTAATATAAACTAATTGTTGATATTATAGTACATTACATTTGTATTTATGGCAAAAATTCTCGACTCTATTTCATCAAACAATGGGCATTTGGCTTGTTAAAGACTGTGGAGTTACATCAGGGTATCCTTCTATCGGATGTTGTCCTCAATGCATTCTCTGTGTATGTGTATTAAAATACCTAACTAGGAATATTAGCAACATATGATAATTGAATCATTTGAAACAGTTCAACTATAATCAGAAAAGAGAAGGGGGGTCAAAAGCTTTTATGTAGTTGAAAGAGGGGGGTTAAATTGTTTAACACATTTTGAAAGGGGGGGGGGGGGTCAATCATATTTTAACATTTCAAATTTACATTTTGCCAGCCCCCTGGAGATACATAAGGACAGATCCCTAAAAGTTCGATCCTAATCATGTATAGTGGGGGTCTGGATGGGGTTTGCAGAACAGAAAATACTGGGCAAACAGTGTAGAATAAATAGCTAAAAAAAATAAAGAAAAAATGCGCCAAAACAATTTAAGAAAAGGAAATAATTGGGTGGTAAAATATAAAGAAAAGAGAAAAATAGGCCATATGTATACCTATTACTGGACTTCCGATTGTATGTATTGTTACAATGTAATTTGTTTTCGTCCTGAACATGCGTAAACTTTTTTGCCACTGGACAACTATACAACCAATTAATCAGTCCTTGTTAAAGAAACACTCTTCATGGAATTACATGCTTAACAGATGCATGCTAAAATGCTTTTTAAATCATTTTAATTCATTTTCAGTGTATGTTCAATTGTGTATATTTGTCTTTTGATTGAGTTAAGCCATTTTAATTGATATTTTATAATGTAAAATTGAGAATGGAAATGGGGAATATGTGTCTTCCTATGTTGTGATGTTACACTATTGTTTCAGGTAAGGATGAAGGTTGGTACCTATAAAAACGTTTAAACCCGCTGCATTTCTTTACACCTGTCTTAAGCCAGGAACATGATGTTCAGTAGTTGTCTTTTGTTGATGTGGTTCATAAGTGGTTCTCGTTTCTTGTTTTTTTATACAAATTAGACCGATTGTTTTCCCGTTTGAATGGTTTTACTCTAGGCATTTTCATGACCCTTTATAGTTCGATGTCCGGTGTGAACCAAGGCTCCGTGTTGAAGTCCGTACTTTGACCTATGATGGTTTACTTTTACAAATTGTGACTTGGATGGAGAGTTGTCTCATTGGCACTCATACCACATCTTCTTATATCTGTTTTATCGCTTATGTCTATACCAGTTAATCTATATTCATATTAAGGAACCACAAGGGTTACTAGGGAAAATAAATATGATATGTCTATACCAGTTAATCTATATTCATGTTAAGGAACCACAAGGGTTACTAGGGAATATAAATATGATATGTCTATACCAGTTAATCTATATTCATGTTAAGGAACCACAAGAGTGATTAGGGAATATAAATATGATCACTGTTAGTCTTCTTCCGATCGTCAGTAAAACCATTGACAAAGTAGGATGTAAAGAGAGTACAAGGCTCTCTGCAAATTAGGGACCCTTATATTGTCTAAAATTCCGTGCATATCCAATTTACCATTGGAAGTCCAAATTTCCATTATGGACGACCCCTATTACTGGACTTTCTTGTAGTATGTGTTTTCATAATGTAATTTATTCTCGTCCTGAACATGCGTAAACTATTTGCCACTGGACAGTCAGCAACTATACAAACAAGTAAGGAAACACCCTTTATGATAGTACACCCCCTTAACATGAAATGGTAGCTCCCTTATGTAACAAAGTGGTGAGTTTTGGAAAAAATCTATGTAAATTAAGTTTTTTTTTATCCTATATAGAACTTTTGAAGTGATCCGTAAAGGGTATCTACGATTTAGACAAAAACATACGACTTTTTTTGGTTCAATTTTTAATAAAAGCAGATTTTGAAATATTTCGTTTGTCCCAAATTTGCAAAAAAATAAGCTCAAAAACATCGCCGCGGTGTATTATTTACTTGCAACATGTTTAAGGCCTCACTGTAACTTTGAGTTTAAGAACATAAATAAAAGCGCTGTTCCTTTCTTTTTTGTGTCTTTTACTGTGTCCATACTGATTGTGTGTCATGGATATCATATGATAGACAACCCATATCCTTTCATTTCTATTATGATAGCCAGTTTTCCCGCCAAATATTTGTGTCTCTCTCTAGGAACTCTGTCTTCCCCCACCAACAAATCTTGGCCACCACGATATAGCCACGAGTAACGAAAGTGGCGTTTAACTCCAAAAATCAATCAGTCAACCATGCATTCGTAATCGAAGTGCTTCTGAACCTTGATGGCAAAGATTGCCATTACAACGTAATTGGAATTTACAATGTAAACATTTTTGTATTGGAAGTTATCTTCCCCTGTTTGAAATTGTAGTTGAATCAGTTCTAGAACGGATCAATGCATAACTTATCTCGTCAAGGGTCATTATTAAACACATCAATACAACTTACGGTATCTCGTCAAGTGTCAGAATAAAACACATAAACACAACTCAAGGTACATTGTACCTAGTCAAGTATCATGATTTAACATATCAACACAACTTACGGTATCTCGTCAAGTGTCATAATCAAACATATCATCACAACTTTAAAAGGTATTTCGTCAAGTATTATGCTTAAACACATCAAGACAACTTAAGGTATTTGTATCTCGTCAAGTATCATGATTAAACACATCAACATCATTTTGTTATTTGAATATATGATTTTATTATTGATAAAACGCATGACAGCATATGGACTGGAAAGGATCCAAGTAATCGAAGAAATAACATATAATTATTCAAATTTTCATGTAACATTGACGTGTTGGTATATGACTCTATACATAACAAATTTGAAAGCATTTCCCAAATAACATATCTGTATATATAAAACGGTTAAACAACACCAGAGTGTTTCTGAAATGTAAGATTCTAAAAAAAACCAACAACAATAGAATTGAGAATGGAAATGGGGAATATGTCAAAGAGACAACCCGATCAAATAGCAGATAACAGCTACTTCATGTTAGTACATCCAATTCGAAGAGTTTCTCTAGTATGCTTTTTTTTATGTGTATGGGTTATTATTTTAAATAATGTTTAGCCCATGATTAAAACCTCACGGTATATGTTCACATGTATCTGCCAGTTTCCATTATTATAGAATCTCATACTAAATAAAACACATCCAAAAAGGCTGATAATTATTTCCAGTATATGTTCTCATGCGTAACTGTATCTCTTTTAAAATACATGTCTTCTATCACAACTTTCAGCTAATACATCATATTTATGATGTTTGTCACAAGTATGTCATGTATGTGTTCTCTGTTAGTCCCTTCTGCCAATATTTTTAGCACAACTAGAGTCCCTTACAAGCCTGTATTGCTTCAACAAAAGCCACTTTTTTTGTAAAAATCATCTGAAAGGGAGATAAGTGACCGTATAACTCTATTTCAGGGATGTTGACGTATTTGTAGATCTTATCCTAGTGATAACTTTTCCCTTTTAATAAAGTTGATATATCTATAACAGTTTTTAAGATAATAGACAAAAATGCAAAACATTCGAAAATAATTTTTTTGAAGGAGCAATAATAAGGTGTCGACTGAAAAAAAAATCGTCGGCTAAGGGCAATAATTCCTATAAGAGGTCGACTATCGATTCATTATCAAAAAAAGAACAGCATAATTCCGTTTTAAACATAGCCGCCTAAACGTGAACACATCACAGAATCTTCCAGATTTTCTGCGTACCAAGTTGATGAGTCCCACTTTGAAACGCATGTACAGTCGCAACTTCGTTTTTGTCCTTTAGCCAATAGACCACTTTCGAGTTATGTGCTTCACCGGAAAAGTTCGTCAATTATTCTTTATGACTTCATTTACTAGATAGAGGAGACCGCTTGTATTCCTGCACTATTAAAGCTCATCAAGCATCTTTGTCGCCGTCATTATGCAGGCTAATCTAGAAATAATGTTTGTTACGTAGAGCCTGTACAAAATCATAATTCCCTAATGACAGCATGCAGTTATCAATTGTAATGATTTAATTTGCAGAATAATTCGTGCAATATAGTATCATATTTTTTCACCCGCTTTGCTTAACATCGGAAGGAAGTGGCAATGCCATTAACGCATTAATGACATAGTTTTTAACGGAAATGCAACGAACTCAAAAGTGGTCTATTGAGAGGCGCATGGACAATAAGATATATAATTAATAGCACTTATGGATGAATTTAAACTTTGTAACACAATGAACAAGAGAAAAGTTCTGGATGATGAATCCCATTTCTTTTTATTATGTAAAATGAATAATGATTAAAGACTCGTCTTTCATAGGCGGATCCAGCCATTTTTAAAGGAGGGGGGGGGTTCCAACTATAGGTCCCCATTTCAAATGCATTGACCCTCTTTTTCCCCTGGATCCGCCAATGTCTTTCTTAATGATTTCAAAACTCAATATAAAATATTTCTGACAATAAAATGAATTATATTTTAAATCCAAAATCGTTTATGAGTTTTATCCCCAGTAAGTATTCCAATGTGTCTCTGTAAACTAGCATCATGACTAAACCTTTTACCGCATACATCACAGTCATCTCCAGTAAGTATTCCAATGTGTCTCTGTAAACTAGCATCATGACTAAACCTTTTACCGCATACATCACAGTCATGAGATTCATCTCCAGTATGTTTTCTCATATGTCTCTTTAAGTTACTACCTCGAGAAAATTCCATAGCAAAAAAATCACATGTATGAGATTTTTCGCCAGTATGTGATTTCATGTGCCACATAAATCACAGGTATAAGGTTGTGTTCTCATCTGTCTCTTAACATTCTGCCCAAACCCTGCATGTACAACATACATCACAGTCAAAGGGTTAATCGCCTGTATGTGTTCTCATATGTCTCTGTAAACAACTAAGATGACTAAACCCTTTGCCACATGCATCACAGTCATGAGGTTTATCAACTGTATGTGTTCTCATGTGGCTCTGTAAATTACCAAGCTGACTAAACCGTTTACCACATACACCACAGTCATGAGGTTTGTCACCGGTATGTGTCCTCATGTGACTATGTAAACTACGAAGTCGGTTGAACCGTTTTCCACATACATCACAATCTTGAGGTTTATCGCCTGTATGTATTCTCGTGTGTCTCTGTAAAGTATTTCGCTGAATAAACCCTTTACCACATACATCACACTCATGAGGTTTATCACCTGTGTGTATTTGCATATGTCTCTGTAAACTAGCAGGTTGACTAAATCCTTTACCGCATACATCACAGTCATGAGATTCGTCTCCAGTATGTATTTTCATGTGTTTCTTTAAGTAACTACCTTGAGAAAACTCCATACCGCAAACATCACATGTATGAGATTTTACGCCAGTATGTGATTTCATGTGTCTTTTTACATTACAATGAGGACCTAACCCTGTACAACATACATCACAGTCATAAGGTAAATCGCTTGTATGTGTTCTCCTATGTCTCTGTAAACTACTACGATGACTAAACTCTTTGCCACATACATCACAGTCATGAGGTTTTTCACCTGTATGTGTTCTCATGTGAATTTGTAATGTATCAAGCCGACTAAACCGTTTGCCACATGCATCGCAGTCATGATAATTTTCACCTGTATGTGTTCTCATGTGTCTCTGTAAATTACTATGATGACTAAAACATTTACCGCATACATCACAGTCATGAGATTCATCTCCAGTATGTTTTCTCATATGTCTCTTTAAGTTACTACCTCGAGAAAATTCCATAGCAAAAAAATCACATGTATGAGATTTTTCGCCAGTATGTGATTTCATGTGCCACATAAATCACAGGTATAAGGTTGTGTTCTCATCTGTCTCTTAACATTCTGCCCAAACCCTGCATGTACAACATACATCACAGTCAAAGGGTTAATCGCCTGTATGTGTTCTCATATGTCTCTGTAAACAACTAAGATGACTAAACCCTTTGCCACTAGATCACAGTCATGAGGTTTATCACCTGTATGTGTTCTCATGTGGCTCTGTAAATTACCAAGCTGACTAAACCGTTTACCACATACACCACAGTCATGAGGTTTGTCACCGGTATGTGTCCTCATGTGACTATGTAAACTACGAAGTCGGTTGAACCGTTTTCCACATACATCACAATCTTGAGGTTTATCGCCTGTATGTATTCTCGTGTGTCTCTGTAAAGTATTTCGCTGAATAAACCCTTTACCACATACATCACACTCATGAGGTTTATCACCTGTGTGTATTTGCATATGTCTCTGTAAACTAGCAGGTTGACTAAATCCTTTACCGCATACATCACAGTCATGAGATTCGTCTCCAGTATGTATTTTCATGTGTTTCTTTAAGTAACTACCTTGAGAAAACTCCATACCGCAAACATCACATGTATGAGATTTTACGCCAGTATGTGATTTCATGTGTCTTTTTACATTACAATGAGGACCTAACCCTGTACAACATACATCACAGTCATAAGGTAAATCGCTTGTATGTGTTCTCCTATGTCTCTGTAAACTACTACGATGACTAAACTCTTTGCCACATACATCACAGTCATGAGGTTTTTCACCTGTATGTGTTCTCATGTGAATTTGTAATGTATCAAGCCGACTAAACCGTTTGCCACATGCATCGCAGTCATGATAATTTTCACCTGTATGTGTTCTCATGTGTCTCTGTAAATTACTATGATGACTAAAACATTTACCGCATACATCACAGTCATGAGATTCATCTCCAGTATGTTTTCTCATATGTCTCTTTAAGTTACTACCTCGAGAAAATTCCATAGCAAAAAAATCACATGTATGAGATTTTTCGCCAGTATGTGATTTCATGTGCCACATAAATCACAGGTATAAGGTTGTGTTCTCATCTGTCTCTTAACATTCTGCCCAAACCCTGCATGTACAACATACATCACAGTCAAAGGGTTAATCGCCTGTATGTGTTCTCATATGTCTCTGTAAACAACTAAGATGACTAAACCCTTTGCCACTAGATCACAGTCATGAGGTTTATCACCTGTATGTGTTCTCATGTGGCTCTGTAAATTACCAAGCTGACTAAACCGTTTACCACATACACCACAGTCATGAGGTTTGTCACCGGTATGTGTCCTCATGTGACTATGTAAACTACGAAGTCGGTTGAACCGTTTTCCACATACATCACAATCTTGAGGTTTATCGCCTGTATGTATTCTCGTGTGTCTCTGTAAAGTATTTCGCTGAATAAACCCTTTACCACATACATCACACTCATGAGGTTTATCACCTGTGTGTATTTGCATATGTCTCTGTAAACTAGCAGGTTGACTAAATCCTTTACCGCATACATCACAGTCATGAGATTCGTCTCCAGTATGTATTTTCATGTGTTTCTTTAAGTAACTACCTTGAGAAAACTCCATACCGCAAACATCACATGTATGAGATTTTACGCCAGTATGTGATTTCATGTGTCTTTTTACATTACAATGAGGACCTAACCCTGTACAACATACATCACAGTCATAAGGTAAATCGCTTGTATGTGTTCTCCTATGTCTCTGTAAACTACTACGATGACTAAACTCTTTGCCACATACATCACAGTCATGAGGTTTTTTACCTGTATGTGTTCTCATGTGAATTTGTAATGTATCAAGCCGACTAAACCGTTTGCCACATGCATCGCAGTCATGATAATTTTCACCTGTATGTGTTCTCATGTGTCTCTGTAAATTACTATGATGACTAAAACATTTACCGCATACATCACAGTCATGAGATTCATCTCCAGTATGTTTTCTCATATGTCTCTTTAAGTTACTACCTCGAGAAAATTCCATAGCAAAAAAATCACATGTATGAGATTTTTCGCTAGTATGTGATTTCATGTGCCACATAAATCACAGGTATAAGGTTGTGTTCTCATCTGTCTCTTAACATTCTGCCCAAACCCTGCATGTACAACATACATCACAGTCAAAGGGTTAATCGCCTGTATGTGTTCTCATATGTCTCTGTAAACAACTAAGATGACTAAACCCTTTGCCACTAGATCACAGTCATGAGGTTTATCACCTGTATGTGTTCTCATGTGGCTCTGTAAATTACCAAGCTGACTAAACCGTTTACCACATACACCACAGTCATGAGGTTTGTCACCGGTATGTGTCCTCATGTGACTATGTAAACTACGAAGTCGGTTGAACCGTTTTCCACATACATCACAATCTTGAGGTTTATCGCCTGTATGTATTCTCGTGTGTCTCTGTAAAGTATTTCGCTGAATAAACCCTTTACCACATACATCACACTCATGAGGTTTATCACCTGTGTGTATTTGCATATGTCTCTGTAAACTAGCAGGTTGACTAAATCCTTTACCGCATACATCACAGTCATGAGATTCGTCTCCAGTATGTATTTTCATGTGTTTCTTTAAGTAACTACCTTGAGAAAACTCCATACCGCAAACATCACATGTATGAGATTTTACGCCAGTATGTGATTTCATGTGTCTTTTTACATTACAATGAGGACCTAACCCTGTACAACATACATCACAGTCATAAGGTAAATCGCTTGTATGTGTTCTCCTATGTCTCTGTAAACTACTACGATGACTAAACTCTTTGCCACATACATCACAGTCATGAGGTTTTTCACCTGTATGTGTTCTCATGTGAATTTGTAATGTATCAAGCCGACTAAACCGTTTGCCACATGCATCGCAGTCATGATAATTTTCACCTGTATGTGTTCTCATGTGTCTCTGTAAATTACTATGATGACTAAAACATTTACCGCATACATCACAGTCATGAGATTCATCTCCAGTATGTTTTCTCATATGTCTCTTTAAGTTACTACCTCGAGAAAATTCCATAGCAAAAAAATCACATGTATGAGATTTTTCGCCAGTATGTGATTTCATGTGCCACATAAATCACAGGTATAAGGTTGTGTTCTCATCTGTCTCTTAACATTCTGCCCAAACCCTGCATGTACAACATACATCACAGTCAAAGGGTTAATCGCCTGTATGTGTTCTCATATGTCTCTGTAAACAACTAAGATGACTAAACCCTTTGCCACTAGATCACAGTCATGAGGTTTATCACCTGTATGTGTTCTCATGTGGCTCTGTAAATTACCAAGCTGACTAAACCGTTTACCACATACACCACAGTCATGAGGTTTGTCACCGGTATGTGTCCTCATGTGACTATGTAAACTACGAAGTCGGTTGAACCGTTTTCCACATACATCACAATCTTGAGGTTTATCGCCTGTATGTATTCTCGTGTGTCTCTGTAAAGTATTTCGCTGAATAAACCCTTTACCACATACATCACACTCATGAGGTTTATCACCTGTGTGTATTTGCATATGTCTCTGTAAACTAGCAGGTTGACTAAATCCTTTACCGCATACATCACAGTCATGAGATTCGTCTCCAGTATGTATTTTCATGTGTTTCTTTAAGTAACTACCTTGAGAAAACTCCATACCGCAAACATCACATGTATGAGATTTTACGCCAGTATGTGATTTCATGTGTCTTTTTACATTACAATGAGGACCTAACCCTGTACAACATACATCACAGTCATAAGGTAAATCGCTTGTATGTGTTCTCCTATGTCTCTGTAAACTACTACGATGACTAAACTCTTTGCCACATACATCACAGTCATGAGGTTTTTCACCTGTATGTGTTCTCATGTGAATTTGTAATGTATCAAGCCGACTAAACCGTTTGCCACATGCATCGCAGTCATGATAATTTTCACCTGTATGTGTTCTCATGTGTCTCTGTAAATTACTATGATGACTAAAACATTTACCGCATACATCACAGTCATGAGGTTTATCACCTTTATGTGTTCTCATGTGAATCTGTAAATTCAAAAGCCGACTAAACCCTTTACCGCATACATCACAGTCATGAGATTCATCTCCAGTATGTTTTCGCATGTGTCTAGTTAAGTTACTATCTCGAGAAAATTCCATAGCACAAACATTACATGTATGAGATTTTTCGCCAGTACAATGTATGTGTTCTCATGTGTCTCTTTTAGTCAGTACCTTGACTATATTCTCTAGCACAATCATCACATTTAGAAAACTGTATTGCCATGCAGCCTGTGTTCTTATGCGTGTCTGTGACTTAATCGTCTACCCATACATCCTATTACAAGTAATAACGTGTATTTCCAGTTTGTGTTCTTGATACGACTCTGTATTAGGAACATAAAAACAAAATCAAGACTAAAATCTGTTTATTACTTATACGATATCTATGTTGTACCAGGAACATATATGTTAGATATACTGTTCCCAGGTTGTACACTCTTTTTTGTTGCAAAAAGAAAATAAACAATCAAACTATCTCAAAGTTCTATTTTCTATAAAAAAAAATCTATACGAGTAGGCTGAACCAATAATCTCCAGCATATTGTTTTGTTCATTGGTGTTTTAATTTGGTTAGTTCTATTCTTACATATAATTAGAAAATTGATATATGGACGAGTACGGACCATACTTAGTATTATACTGGCCCACAATTAATAATTCTTTATTGTCATATAAGTAAAACTATACTTGTGACATAAATAAAAGTAACAACAACAAAAAATAACTGAGTTGAACACTACACACACACACACACATATATAATTTCAAAATTCAAGAGTCTATCCTAAATTGAGGTAAATTATATGGCCTTCCAAATACCGTTTCGATTCCTAACATCACTGAAGAGACATTAATTGTCGAAATCCGGATATGGTGTACAAATTTTTGCACCTCATGTTTGCGCTATACCATCTTTTCCGCAAGTTTATTATTTTCTGTTTGGTAATAAATTAATAATAAGATCCATTTTTACATCTGGTGATCCGTTTATTTGGCAATCGCCAATGGCAGTCAGCAGGGTTTAAGAACATCAGTTGTTCGACCTGCTAGTCAAATGCGTTTTGTTAAAATATACTTTTTCACTTTCTTGGTCTTTTGGAAAATGTTGTTTGTGCTGTATTTAGACCCCTCTACCAAGAAATTTGTTTTGCATGCACACGTATAAAAATTGCGGTTTTTATCCAACGCAATCATAGGTTGAACGTTGTTTTCAATTTAGACTTGTTTATATTTTTTCGTTTGGGCTTGTATTATATTTGCCTTCGGGTTTATATGATCCGTTCATCCTATTTCGACTCTTTCAAAATTCAAGAGTCTATCCTAAATTGAGGTAAATTATATGGCCTTCCAAATACCGTTTCGATTCCTAACATCACTGAAGAGACATTAATTGTCGAAATCCGGATATGGTGTACACATTTTTGCACCTCATGTTTGCGCTATACCATCTTTTCCGCAAGTTTATTATTTTCTGTTTGGTAATAAATTAATAATAAGATCCATTTTTACATCTGGCGATCCGTTTATTTGGCAATCGCCAATGGCAGTCAGCAGGGTTTAAGAACATCAGTTGTTCGACCTGCTAGTCAAATGCGTTTTGTTAAAATATACTTTTTCACTTTTTTGGTCTTTTGGAAAATGTTGTTTGTGCTGTATTTAGACCCCACTACCAAGAAATTTGTTTTGCATGCACACGTATAAAAATTGCGGTTTTTATCCAACGCAATCATAGGTTTGAACGTTGTTTTCAATTTAGACTTGTTTATATTTTTTCGTTTGGGCTTGTATTATATTTGCCTTCGGGTTTATATGATCCGTTCATCCTATTTCGACTCTTTCAAAATTCAAGAGTCTATTCTAAATTGATGTAAATTATATGGCCTTCCAAATACCGTTTCGATTCCTAACATCACTGAAGAGACATTAATTGTCGAAATCCGGATATGGTGTACAAATTTTTGCACCTCATGTTTGCGCTATACCATCTTTTCCGCAAGTTTATTATTTTCTGTTTGGTAATAAATTAATAATAAGATCCATTTTTACATCTGGTGATCCGTTTATTTGGCAATCGCCAATGGCAGTCAGCAGGGTTTAAGAACATCAGTTGTTCGACCTGCTAGTCAAATGCGTTTTGTTAAAATATACTTTTTCAATTTTTTGGTCTTTTGGAAAATGTTGTTTGTGCTGTATTTAGACCCCTCTACCAAGAAATTTGTTTTGCATGCACACGTATAAAAATTGCGGTTTTTATCCAACGCAATCATAGGTTTGAACGTTGTTTTCAATTTAGACTTGTTTATATTTTTTCGTTTGGGCTTGTATTATATTTGACTTCGGGTTTATATGATCCGTTCATCCTATTTCGACTCTTTCAAAATTCAAGAGTCTA